CATTGCCTCCTGCTATTTCATTGACTCCTATAAGTTGTACATCATTCCTCTTTGCCTCATCTTGCAGCTGTTGAATTGACTTTTCCTGGATCCTTGTTGATTTTACAAGATCCTTTCTTTCACGGTTGCTAGCTGCCATGCTGTCTTCAAAGTCTGAGATTCTATCTTCAGCTTCATTCAGACAGTTTTGGTAGCTTTCAATAGCAGCTTTGTTTTCCCGGAAGTCTCTCTGAATCTGGTTCATGTGCTCTTAGTCCTTTCTGTATTTTTCATTTAACGCTTCTAACCATTGCCTTTGTTCTTCTATTTTCTTATATGTTTCTTCTTCAGACTTTTTGAGCAGTTCCTTCATTATTATTGTCATTTCATTTTTTGCCTGAGAGACTATTTCTGATCTCATCTCTTCCATGGCCATATGGATTTGTTTCTTTGCTTCCATTGCAATCATTTCAGCTATTTCAGGCATATGTTTACCAAGTTCTCCTATGTCAATGTCTCTTGGACTTGTTCTGAGTGGGGTGGAATTCTGGGATTGTGTTTTCATCCTTCATTTTGTCATGTTTGATACCAGATGCAGAAAGCTCAGTTTCCCTCTTCAGTGGCTGCACAGTAAAGGCCACTAGTGTCCCTAGTTTTCCTGTTGGTCAGGTTTGCCCCTCAGTGACCCCTGAGAAGCACTACTTAGTCTCGGGTTTTCTGGTAGTTGTTGATTTGTATGTAGTTATCCCTGGTCTCAGATGCAGGCATTGGTGTCAATTGATGGCAGAGTGTGTGATCCAGCATCCCCTTGCAGTTCAGGACACGTGCATGGCCCAGACTCAGGTTGTACTGGTGTGGTAATCTCGGGCCAGTGGACCTGTGTCCCCAGGCAGTTCAGGGCATAGGCAAAACCCAGACACAAACTGCAGGGTTGACAGTTTGTGAACCACCTGATTCTGTGTCTCCAGCCAGTTCAGAACACATACAGGAACTAGATGCAGGCTGTACAGGCAGCAATAATAGACTGCCCGGGCCTGCGACCCCCTAGGCGGTCCGGGCACAAGTAAAGCACGGACTAGAACCACTGGACCAGCAGCTCTTGGAGCACTCCCTCACTTGGTGCAGGGCATGTGCAGGGAGGGGCCACATGCACCCCACCCAACTGGAGAAGTCCCTGGGGCTTCTGAGTGAGGACCTTCTGTCTGCTGTGGGTGCAAGGAGGGCAGAGACTCAGTCTGTAATGGCGATGGGGTCCTGGGTCGCCTGCTTTGCCCCCAGAAAGTAAATGGGAAATACCTGGCTCTGTCTTCGAGTTTCAGCTGGGAACCGTAGCAGTGGAAGTAAAGCACGGACTGCTAAAATATATAATTCTTATACATTTATGTACATACATAAATGTACATAAATGTACATAAATATATAATTCTTATACATTTATGTACATACATAAATGTATGTACATAAATGTATGTTTTAAAGGTTTTTATATAAAAAAGAAGCATAGTAATTTCATAAAAATTACTCATTTTGATTTTTAAATTTTATATCTGCTGATGCCTTTTAGTTATTACTTTACATGTATGCAAATATTTACAGTTATATTTTTAAATGAAATCCATTTTTTATTTGTGTTCTTGAAAATTTCAATATCCCAATGAGAAATTATATTCATGCATTTTAAATATCCATCTTTATCAATTCAGTGTCTACATTATTCCTCACTTTCCAGTTCATATTTCATGTATTTCCTACAGTAATATTTTTAATATATAGGTCCTAAATTTCAGTTTTCACTTTGTTTCACTCATAAGAACATTAACACTTATTTACATACATTCTATTTAAACACAAATTTTGCAAGTTTCCCATTTTTATCATATGGGAACTGCATATCATTTCCATGTTAAAAAAAGTATAAGACATATGAGACATCTATAAATTTAGTTATTTTGGATGAAAGGAGATACCTCAGAGGATGACCTTTAAGTTAATTAAAAGGTAAAAACTGAATTATACTCAAAAGCACCTGAAACTGCCATGCTAAATGCCATTCCCACATTCATGATGACTTTCAGAAAGTAGTAATTTTTTCCTTATCATGATTTTACCAAAAGATCCTAGCTGTGCCCCTGCCATAGGCAGCATGCTTATCTGAATGGAACAGAGCAATAGTATTATTTAATCATTTTCAAGATAAAAGAATACTTCCAGAGTGTTTTGAGGCATGTAACCTGGTGCAGCCATTATGGACAACACTATAAAAGTTTCCTCAAAAAATTAAAAATAGGGATACCCAAAAAATAGACATTGCTGTAATTCAGCAATACTATTTCCAGATATATATGCAGAAGTGAAATCAATTCTGCAGAGAAAATTTTGCAAACAAAACTCAATTTTTGCTGAGAAATATCTGCACCCTCATGTTTACTGTAGCACATGTTTACTGTAGCAATGGGCAACATACAGAAACAAGCTGCCTATCAGTGGATGGGGGGATGAAGAAAATGTGGTGTGAGCTACTGTAATCACCTCTTATGAGTCCTCTTACAGACGTTTTATCTTTCAGACTTGTTCTACACACTCTAGCCTTAAGAAACCACCAATGTATTTATAATATATATGAATGCAAAAAGACAACAGACATTCATATATTTCTTAAGTACATTTGGATTTATTTTAAGGTTGTAGTGTGTAGGACAGGTCTGAAATAAGCAAGACTTGATGCCTGGAGTCCTATAAAGATGGTACCAGAGTAATCCAGGGAAGAGATAATATTTCGTAGAGAAAATTAGAGTACCTTGGTCAGGGAAACCTGGTGGGGTAGAGCAGCAGGGTGTAGCAGTGGAAGTTTATGATCATGAAAGTAGGGAAGCCAACTCCTCCACGGTGCACCTGGCTTTCCCCACAGTAGTCAGCTGCTTAGGAGTACACAGGGCATGGAGAGGGCAAATGGTGGGGCACAGCAAAAGCGGAAACCTTGGTAAGGGCTGGACATTCAAAGAAAGTCAAGAAGGATGGTTTAGAGATTCATTCGGAAGATTATTTAAATGACTTACCATGCAACCTGAACTAGGTAAGGAAAAAGTTTGAAAAGAGAAAAGACCAATCCACTGGGAAAAACTGGATGCTTTAGTGATGTCTGTCAATGGGGTTGAAAGACAATAGGCACAGTAGTAGTTCAGTGATAAAGGCAGAAGAAAGGATGGTTAATCAGCCAATGTATGGTGAATAGGAGGGGAAAATTAGTCTCTTTCCATCCCTAAATAACTATGATAGTAAGCACCTACCATAGATGTTTCCTCATTCCAATTACATGAGATTTGAAAGCAAGGTAACCAAAAAACAGTTTTCTACTTTTAAATTTAGATCTAAAAATGAAGAAGATGAAGACATAATCTGCTTACAGAGAAAGTTTGAGTACTTCTCTAAGTCTTCCACCCACATACTGCCAAGGAAGGAATATTTGTGGAAGATTTGGATACAGAGTTTAGCAAGTGATAGGAAGAATTAGAGGAGAGAGTGAGAGAGAGGGAGGAAGGGAGAGAGAGAGAGAAAGAAAGAGAGAAAGAGGGAGAGAGAGAGACTGCTAAGCCACAAACCACCTACCAACTAGAGCTTTCAAGTGGGCCTGACCAAAGGAGAAGAGGTTTAACTTTAAGGTCGGAGCTCTTTTTATTAAATGAGGCATTGTTTGTTTCAACTAGTGAAATGAAGCTGCTGTTTTGACTAAGCATGAATGGAAGGCTAATATTAAATGAAGTAGAAAGAAAGTTACTAATTCTTCCCTAGATTTCACCATAAGAACAAGAACCAAGCCAACAGTGTGTGATATAGGTCATGGGCAATAAAAAGAATAGTGTTGCTTATGGTTCATACCCAGTGAGGTCCAGCTCCTATTCAGCATACTCCCATGTGGAACAATAGTTTCCCTGGAGGAAGCAATTGAGGATTTGTACTGGGAAAATGGTAACTGTAGGAGTGGTGAGTGAGGTGGAACAAAACAGGATTGAAGGTCATTGGAAATGACGTCAAAACTCTATGAAGCGAAGTTTTTCATAAGCACAATATAGTCATCCAGATTCTTGCAGAACTTAAAGTAGGGATGCTGATTATGTGTCAGGTGCAAACTTTACATTGAGTAATAGCACTGGAGAAAAGATCAGGATGTTATGGTCAAAAGAATGCAGAGAAAGAGACTTCCAAATTACGTGATCCTCAAAGAGGGATTCATTTTTGTATGAGGAGAGGATAAATGTTTTGCAAGAGGTAACGTGGAGCTAGAAACATACTGACTGGATCACTCAGTGCTTAGGGATATGGGACTGAAACATTCCGTCTTGAGTGGTATCCTCGGGATACTGATGTCATTAAACATCAGGTAGGAAAACTCCCCCAAAGAGGTTGAAGAAATTGCTGACTGTGTGCAACTAATATTAGGAATATTAGTGAAGAAATTTGGAATCATGGTGTGAGGGGAAGAAGTGGTGGAAGAGTTGAATTGGAGACAAGAAAGGACCAGGAACTAAACAAAATTGCTTGTAAAATATTTCATTGGTTCTAGTTTAAATATCTTTTATTGTTACATATCTATGAGGGGAAGGTAAATGTCTCATTAGTCCACTCAGCTTGCCATTATAAAACACCACAGTCTGGGTGGCTTAGAGGACACAGTTTCCTTTCTCATTATTCTGGAGACTGGAGATCCCTGAACAAGGTCTGGCAGAGACAGTGTCTGGTGAGGGCCCTCCCTCAGGGTTGCCTTCTGACTGTCTCCTCTCCCGACACAAAGAAAGAAATCAACTTCTCTAATGTCTCTTCTTATAAGAGCGTTAGTTCCCACAGATCAGGATTCCATCCTCATGATCTCATCTAACTTTAATTATTTCTCAAATGCCCCATCTCAGAAACCAATGATAGGAACGAGTGGGGGGAAGGACACATCTATTGCATAAGAAATGTTCTCACTACCAGCTATGACCACGAACAGAGCTATTTTCATCACACATTTTCTTTCTGCACAGAATTCTGTCACAGGAAAAAAATATCGATCAAAGAAGGATCACATGATGTGCAAACTTATGTGTTTGTGTATTGCTTACTCTTCTACCATTGGCGGACTGACCACAATCACTGGTACCTCCACCAACTTGATCTTCACTGAGCATTTCAATACGTAAGTAAAATCATCACAGTAGTGACAAATCAACAGCACTTAAATTATGAAAATTATTCTTACCTGACTCAGAGAACACAAAGACAGAGAGGCTATGCCTGGTTATTTCATCTTTGCTTTGTTCAGCACATTTATAGGTCTACAGATTTTTCTTTGGAGTAGGGTTAAAATGACAGACCAGTTAAATAAATATGTGTCTGCCAATTCCACAGGCCAGCTGAGGTGAAAAATTTCCTGGATGATCACTCGCATCACAAAGGCGATACAACTGTCATTGCAAATAATTCTGTAAATGGTAGTTGGCTAGAGTAAAAAGGGATTACTTGCATGGGACAATTTATGTAAGGCTTAGGAACTGGCATTTGAGCTTGAAAAATGAAGGTACTAATTACAAAAGAGATTTGGTTTTGGAATTCAAAAAAATTGAAGGATTGAGCAATTACAAGAAATGGCAATAATATTCTGTAGACATATGTGATTCTAAATATAAATTTGAAAGTGCAATGCCAATCCATTACAAAAAAAATGAAACATCTTTGGATTCAGCAGTCATATCACTTTGGTTAAAAATGTCACAATTTATACTTTGTGAATTTGAACCAGAAAAAGTACATTGTTCTCACAAGATATGATTTTGCAAATCAGAGTCCTGGTTTGTAGGGTTATTGTGACAAATGTGTACATGATTTTGCATTATTTTTTGCTCAACTCAAATATTTTGAGTGCTCAGACAGATTCTGCAGCCAACGTACATTCCAAGCAATAAGAGAACAAATAATTGTCAGTTTTAAGGAGGTGAATAACATCAAGAAAGCTCAGGAACAGGAGTTAATCCTTTTCACAGAAAAATTAGGTTCAGAAGCAGCAAAACTGCCTTCTGGAAGTAGATTCATAGACTCTATGAACATCCTGAAATTATTTACAAAATGTTGTGTGTACATCGTTTCTTCAGGAAATCCAAGACTCAAAGAATATCCATCCACAGTTTAATAAGAATAGGAACTTGTGTAGAAAGAACAGTAGTACAGAAGTTTAGATTCAGTGTCATGTAGACCTCCATATCTACTCACTGTCTCAGTGAATGTGTATCTTTGGTGTATACTGTAACAAGAAATTTAAGAAACACACTGAAAAAGAAGTAGCATCCTATACCACCCTTGACAACTAGAGAAAATGTGTTCACATGATTTGAAACAATATTATAGGAAGTAAAACCAAATTCATGAGGAAAAGTAGTAGGAAGAATTCATAAAATCAAAGCACTAGAAGTCTGCAATGGGCTTTTTCGGAAGGATGTGGAGTCATGCGTATGTTTTCCAGTTTAAAGTAACAGTGTGCAGGCGGATCGGTGAGCTGACAGTCTGGAAACAGGAAACCAATTAGGAGTCTATTACCAAAGGGCTGACAGTGATGAAGAGCTAATTGTGAGGAGACAGGAGGATATAGACTTGAGATGCTGCATAGTCCAAAGATTATCAGTAATTAAGAGTAAGGATTTTAGGGTAAGGAGGAGTGAGGGCAACCCCGGGGATATTTGTCCCCAGCGAGAAGATATGGGAAGGTGCAGGTTCCCTGGAGAAATTCACAAACTGAATCTGGGCACATTGATGGGACCTACAGAGAGACTAGCCATGGGAGATCTTTAGCAGGCCTTTGAAAGAGCATTTTATGAGTGAGTTATAAACTGGGGAGGGTATATCTACAAAGTAAGCATTAAGTTCTTAAGCATTAAAATGGCTACATAAGGGAAAACATTAAAAGAATCCACCCATGGGTAGACTCTTAGGAAATATTGACAAGGAAGGAGATAAGGACTGTTAGTCAAGGCAGGAGAATCAAAAGCATGTGGTGTTTTGAAAGCCAAAAGAAAGGTACATTTTTAAAATAGATGGTGAGTCAGGGCACATGGGGATAGAAGCAAGTCAAGCAGGATGAGGGCTGTGAAAAGCTCTTCTGTTCTCCCTGCCATCCTAGGAGGGCAGATCAGTGGAGCTTGGGCCGTGGGCAGCAGTGAGACTTAACAGGACAAGGCAGGAGTATGTAGTGTGCAGGCAAAGCAACAAGTTTAAATGATTCTTTCAAGTTTAACAAAGAAAAAAAGGAAAAGGAAAAGCAGGGTTTGACTAGAGGCAAAGTGTTTTTTTACAACAAGGGTGAGACGTCACCTTGGTTGTATCTCTGGGAAAGGAAACAGTCAAAAGAGAGATACGCGAAGTTTTGATTAGAAAAAGAGAAGAGAACATGCTTATCAGAATAAAGAGTAATGGATGAATGGAAAGGAATTTGAAGCAAGGGTAGAAATGTTAGTCCTAAGAAAGAAAGACGTAGCAGTAAGCTGAGAAGAACAAGAGAAGACAGGCTCTGCTGTACAGAGCCACGTGTACAGCACTGCAGTAAGTGGGGATCCCTAGTTCCAAGGAGGTGGGAATTGCAGGCAGAAAGGCTTAGCCATTCTGTGGCTTCACTGCCTCCCAAGTCTGCAGCCATAAGCGAGGGTGCCACATGGGTAGAATCCTGCCAGCAATGAGGAATGACTGCAGGGTACTCACTTCTTTTAAGTGACATAAAATTCTGTGTATTTATGGAGTGCCATGTGATATTTCCTATACTGGTATACATTATTTAATATTCAAGTCAGGGTAATCTGTATTTCCTCAAAAATTTATTATTCTTTGTGGTGAAAACATTCAAAGTCCTTTCTTCCGGTTTTTAAAAATATTTGATACATTGTTGTTATCTATAGTCAGTCTTAGTCTCAGAATGTAGCACCTATGCTTTCTAAATTCCACACTCTACACTCTCCCGTGATTATTTCACCACTAGCTTTGTCAAATCCTTAAAATGGAATATTCTGGAAATCTTCCTTGTTCCACCATCTTCCAATACAATCATAAAGATTTGCTTTGATTTTATTGACCATTCATTAGGAAACTGCTCCTTGCTCAACCTCTCTTTGTCCCCTTCTGCTCTGTTGGAAGAATCTCCTATTCTCCACCTCATCCCCTCCTTTCTTTACACTATTTTTAGTAAGTGCCATCCTGGCATTAACCTATTACTTCCTATTCTCAGGAGACAGCACATCTTTCTGTACTTGTGTGGCTATGATACCCGCTGAAATTCTGCAATTACTTCATAGGCACCATTCCCATCTCCTCTCATCGTAATCTATATTTACACTTCAGAAAACTTGTCTTATGCACACATGGGTACAACCAGCACCACTGATGATACCGTGCTCACAAAGGCTGAATCAATCACTGTTTTCTCCTTTAAGCTCACAAAGTATCAAGGAGGTGATCAATAAATATTGGTTGAGATAAGCTGTTAAGACATACATGAAATGCATGAAGTGCTGACTGGGAGAATCATCTACACAGCTGGATAATCTTTTTACATCAAAATATTGTTAGGAAAAAATATTATTTTGCAGTAGAGAAGTTTTGATACGTCAATACCATCTACCAACATAACAGCTAGTAGTTAACTGCACACGAATGATCTGCGTACAAAGAATGGAAGACAATTACGAGTAAAGGTCTGTAGCTTGCTAACTATCACAGTATATTAGTTTTTAGGTGTTAGCTGTGAAGTCATGTGTATAGAAAATAGCTTGGGAGAAGAAAAGCTGTATTATCAATGATGAGCAAAGTTGGTGTTACCAGTTGTGTGATAAAAGCTACAGTAGTCCTTCTCCTTATCTGCAGAGATGTGTTCCAAGACCCCAGTGATACTTAAAACCTCAGCTGGTAGTAAACCATACAGTTACTATTTTCTCTCTGTACAGTATACATACGCCTTCACAAAGTTTAATTTATAAATTAGGCACATTGAGAGATTAATAAAAGTAAATAATTAAAGAAAACAATTATAACATTATATTGTAATAAAAGTTATATGAATATGGCTCATGTCTGTCTTGAAAGAATCAAGATCCATCAACAGATGAGTGAATAATGCAAATGTGGCATTCATACACAAAGCAACACTGCTCTGCCATAATGCAGGATAAACTTGAGGCATTTGTAGGTAAATGAACGCACTTTGAGACCATAAGGTTAACTGGAATAAATCAGACACACATCGTTTCTCTTATATGAGAAACTCACAATATACATAAAAACAAAATAAACGAGAGAGACTAGGAAGTAGGGAAATCTTTTTCAAATGGGAAGGAGAACAGAGATGGAGGGGAGGTGGAAAGGCATGGAAAAAGCATTCCAAAAAGAGAGTCAAAGAAGAAATGGAAATAGAGCTTTTTTCAAATGAGAAAGAGATTATGAGTTTGAGGGGAGGGGTGAGGAGGGAGGGGCAGGAATGGACAGGAACAAAGAGAATTAGAATGTGTTATTTATATGTACAAACTCCCCACAATATGCACATTAATAAAATAAAGAATCAAACAAATATTGGTATTTTCAGATCATGGTTGACGGCAGGCGGTGGGTAATGGGCGGTACTGGTTCATGAGTTACAAGCCAAGGACTGGTAAAAGGAATGTGCTCACATTTACCATTAATTCAAAGCACCTCGGCCTACGCTTTCGTCTTTACTCGGTCAAACTGGAGAAGTAGTCCAATCACCTAGCAATGACACCTTCACATGTTACCATGCTTTTTCTCTTCATAAATAGGCAATACACATTTCTCAGAAACGACTTCTCTGTCAACTATTATAGAAGAAATGTGCACACTGCAAAATTTGGACTCAGATCTTAATTCAGACTTTAAGACTGCCCTATATTAGCCTAAATTCTGTAAACCTCAAGTTCATCATCTATAAAAGGAGGGCAATGTTAAAAAATTATTACTATAAGGATTGAAAAGCCCGGTGTACGTGTGGCTCTGCCAGACACTGCCGCATACCTCTTTGTCAACAGTGCTAGCTGTTCTCTCCGCTGCTTCTAGTTTTACTATCACAGTTAGAAGTCTAAGCCTGGCTCATGAATAACAAGTAGTTAATATTTTTGAACAGAAAGCTCAGGAAGTACACAAATCCAAAACTGAAAGTGGCTTTGACTCAGAAATAATCAAAACAGTCATTAATCAAAAGGACTATAATCAGTGTGGACTCTAGCTTGTTATGATTCTTAATGACCAAAAGCTGTTACACTTTAGTAAATTTCCATGACTACAACTATTCTTTTGAACACATTTCTGAGTATTTCACTGATATTAAAGTTATTCATCTTTTTATAGTTGGTCATAAGAACCACAGTGACCACTTTTTCTTCCTAAAATGTCAGGAGTTAAGTGCACATGACTTAGGTCAAGATATCTCCATATTGTGATGCAATCATTTCTGCAATTCTTATAAAATGTCCATAGAACCGAAAGGTAGTAATCTAGCTTGTAGATATTTCAATATATAATATGTATTATATAAATGTGGAATTTTCTATTTCAGTTGGTAGCTGGTTTTGAGGATGCTGTGGCTTAATAAAAGGAGGTTGTGTTTTAAACTAAGCCTCCTCGTCAATTTGAAAATCCAGCTTGACTGCAAAATCTGTGACCTTGAGCAATCAATTTAACCTCAGATTCTTCCTGAGTAAAATGGAAATATAATGCCCTCCTCACAGGCTCTTCACTAGAATTAAATGTACTTAGGTCATCTGCTCATTTCTACACCTCTCCCTGACCTCTAAAATTTAGTGGCCCAGAAAATCTTGCCAGTCCCTGTACATCTAAATCTCTAGCTCCTACATTACCAGACCCATCCCATGGCCTATGATGCCATGTATGGACTGAGGACTACCAGCTTTTTATCACATCCTTTGAATTCTGGTGTCAGTTACCTAGCTGTCTATCCAACACTGCCACTTGGAAAGCTAGAGGACACCTCAAGTCGGCACAACCACAGGAGCATTCTTCTTTGTTTTCTTTTCAGTGCATGTTAATAGTGTAGAAAAGTGTGATACACCTTGGTATAATCATATAACATATTCTGATTATTTTCTTCTCTGTTATTCCTCCTTTCCTCTCCCCAAGCTCCTGCCCACCTCTGAGCTCCTCCTAGTTTCCACAGGTGGGTTCTTTATCTCCCCCTACTCACTCATCTGTGCCCTGATGACCTGTCTTCCTAAGATTTTACCATTTCAGAATATGGCATTTTAACACCAGCCATGTTTTTTCAAATTGAATGGACCCATGGAAATTACATTACTTTAGGTTTACCATGTGATGCTTCCATGTGTGCTCAAAGCTGCCTAACATATGCATCTAGTCAGTATTTACCGTTTCTGTGTAGTGAAATAGAAAAGTCTTTTCCTAGTTTCTTTCAAGTATACAATAGATTATTATTATCTATATTGATCCTACTGTGCAATGGGGCAGCACAATCTATTTCTCCCATCTGACTGTAGTTCAGCACCCACTGATCAACCTTTCTACCTCTCAGTCCCCTGCTCCTGGCTCAGCCTGTGGTAAGTGCTTCTCTACTGTTACCTTTTCTCAATTCCGTGTATGAGATCGTGCGATAGTTGGCTTTTTGTGTTATAGTCACAACTTCAGCTCCATGTACACCCATTCTTTGTGTGTTTAATGAAGGTTTTGTCACAAGCATATTTTAGAGATTGAACAAAGAGGACAAAAAGTAAAACATAACCACTCTTACTTTTGTGGGATGCAAAAATAAAATACACAGTTACAGAATCAAGACAGGCAGTAACCTAACTACTGTATTTAACAGCGTGACTATCCCAGGACTTTTTTTTGGCCAGAAGTGCAGTAGAGATGACCATGACCAGCGGTCATGACTGTCGGAAAGAATTCTACTTGTGCCTCTTCCCTGAACACTTCTCTGTGCTTTCACACAGACGCTACCCTGATTGTCAGTGCCTCAACTTTGGATCATGGTTTTTATTTTCCTTCCCGGTTTCTGTCATTATTCTGCTGTTGTCCTGGATCTGGCTTCAATGGCTTTTCCTGGGATTCAAGTAAGTAAATATGTTCATGTTTATAGGATAAATGAAGGACTCCAAATTCCAAGATTTTACTTCTGCATCCAGTGCTTTTTTCCTTACACCACACATGCTGCATTGGCAATTTTTTTCTTGGCCACCAGACAAACACACATAAACACATATTTTTAAAGTTAAACTAGCATCTTAATTAAATAAGATTGGCTACGGAAGACAGTACTTAAAAAGAAAGCCCATCCAGGTGCCCTTTGAATATTAATCCAATAAAGTAGGCAGGGGGGTATAGGGAACACACTATGATGAGCACCAAGCCCAGTTTGCGAGAGTAAAGGTTTTACAAGTTTTGTCCCTTCACTTGCTGTAATGCGGGGATTTTCTTGGGTTACTGAGTTGCTCCCATGTTTAACATGCAAGTTTCCCTGCTTTGTCCTAGCACAGAAATTGATACCACCTTCATAATAAAAGATAAAGTAAAAATCAGAGGCTGTTCTCTGTCGAAAGAATATCAGATTAGGTTTCAGGACACCAGGAATATGACTGGGGCTGCTCACAACCCAGAAGAATAATATTTGCAAGTCCTGACCTGTTGTTACATGTGGTATCTTCACCTGTAAAACACTAGAATTTACCCAAAAGATCAGTAAGATCTCTTCCAACACTCTAATTCAAGCACATATGGGTACACATAGGAACACATAGAAACCAAGGTAAGAAACACAGATGAATAAAGTGCTACTAGTGCCGCCAAGATGCCCAACATGTATTCAAAGAGAATTTCAAAATATTACTTTGACTAGGGTTTTAGCTGGTGGTTCAGAAGCACCAGTGAGTTGTGACTTAGGTGACAAGCCAACAGTGAATGTTATGAAGAGCTCCACAGCAAATCTAAAATTCTGCCTGCATTTTTCAGTTCACTTAATAATATTCCAATCAGTATATTTAGCAATACTCCCAAAGAGGCAAAATAGCTATGTAGCAAATATTGAAGATTTTTCTTCAAAAGAAAATAATTCAAATGCATTTTTACAGAGATGAATTTAAATAATTTTAAGGACTCATGAATAAAACAGTATATTATTCACCAAGCCAAGCTTAAGTCAGCCCTTTGTACTTCTTTTGAAAAGCAAAACAGTATGGTCATGTGTGGCTCCCTGCCTGTGCTACATTTTCCAAGCTTTAGCAGCATAAGTACTGACCCTATCCCCTCTTGATTCTCCTTCCTGATTTTTCTCCAGAACTGTCTGATTGTGTTAGTAGAGGGAAGATGGTGCTGGTGATTTAAAAAAATCTATACAGATTGTGGGATCAGTGGGTGGCAGTTCTCCTGCCAGAGCAAATGTGCAGAATGTCATTGCCTTCAGCAGGTGGGCATCAGTGGGGAGAGGCCAGCTGCATGGCAAGTGCCCCTCCCAGGAAATCTGAGCCTTTGGGGGCCTATTCAGTGGCACAGGTAGAAATGCCAGCTCCAGAGAATAGAATCCCAAGTCAGTGGAGAAAGTATTCAGCCACAGCCCACGGTTGTTTCTGTTCTTTGTTGCTACGTGTAGTGACTTTATAAAATACATATGCAATCATTGTTATTATTTTGAAACAGCCTACCACTTAGAAAGGAACAATTACGATGATAAAGGGCAGATGCATTAAAACATGTTTTGCAGGAGGGAAAATTCCCGAGAAGCATATGCATTACACGGAGTGCATAAATCATGATCAGTGGCAAGTTTCAGCAGTCCCCTTGCTGTCCACTGTTGGTTAGATACTGAACAGCTTCAAGCTTTAGCTAATTTTTCAGTGTCCTTTTCAGTCTGCTAAGGTGTTCGCCTCCAGAGTTTTAAGATCGACAACTAGAAATTATCAGCCACTCCCCTGGCGGGCTACTATACATTCTGATTAGTGTGTCAGCTGTTAACAGAGTTAGCTTGCCCATTATAAATGACCCCAACATACTTCAGAAGAGAAGCTCATCTATCAGTGCCTCCAAACTTGTTTAAATGGAGAGGTTAATGCATTGTCATATGCTTCTTCAATTCCTTGTGAAGGCATTAACCTTTCTTTGTAGCAATGCCAACTTGGCTTTGACTTAACTGCTTATTTTCAGCAAAGTGGCAAAATACTTATGGATCATATTGAGTAGAAGAATCTTGTCTTTCTCTTTAGCTATACTTTTCTATAGATAGTTCTTGAGGTAACCTATAGGTTAGTTTCTTATAATAGTTTCTTATAATTCGTGTTTTGTCAGGGAACAAAATTTTTAGATTGGAGGAATTACTAGTTAGGAATTTAATTGAGATTATAAAATGTAATTATGCCCTCATTGATTATAAATTGAAAAATATTGAATTATTTCAGTTCTTGAGAAACATGCATGAGAGGAATTATGATTATATAAGATAGATGGCTTATGAAGTAAGGAAATGCACACCTTTTTTTTGTTGTTTTTTTTTCTGATACCGGGACTCATGCTTGCCAGGCAGGCACTGTGCCACCGAGCTAAATCCCCACCCTCGAAATATAAACCTTCAAATGAAATCATACTCTAAATGAGGTTGCATAGCCAAGTTATAGAGGAAAAATAATGTCAAACAAACAAATGAAAATAAATAAATAAAAACGTAATCGAACCACAGAATGTAATTCTCTGAGGTAATGACCTTCTCCCTATCCAGTCTTCCTTCGTACTCTCTCCTAAGCATGCACGTGTACCCTGCAATTTTACAGGACAAAATGTCTTGACTTTCTACAAGTACACATAATGTAAACTGAACTGCTTTATTTCAAAAGATAGTCCCTAAAATCTAGCCATTTCTCTATTTTTTCCTGTCTGTAGAGGGTTTTTCTTTTTAATCTATATCTAGAGCAGCAATACACACACACACAAATTGTTCAAGATTTTAAAGAACCCGTACTTCAGGAGAAAAGTATTAGTCACAGAAAAAAGACTCATTAGAACAAGCAGCTGAAAGCTGTAAAGAGTGGCCATTAGTATTGGAAATAAACTAGGAGATAGTAGGTGCTATTACTACATAGGGCTGAAGAAATTTAGAGGAACACATCAGGCAGTAAAGCTGGTTTTAGAGAACAGAACTTATTTGGACTCTGACCAGTATTAATATATGTAACTTCCCTGCCCTAGTGTATAGCTCAAGTTAAGCATCTTTATGAAATGTAATGAATCTGACAAGAACTGTCCCATAAATTTGCCAAAGGCACTACTGAGTTGGTGAATTGACTATTTTTTTTTTTAAATAAAGGAAGGAGAACATGTTAACAAACAGACATCCATTTACAAAATAGCATAAGAGCAATACAAACAGAACAGAGTTACAGACAAAGTTGTAGGAAATTAACAATGGCTGTTGTATTACTTACTGGTATCTTCAAAGTGGTTTCTCAGGAAAACAAATAGAGACATACAAGATTGATCAAACAAGTAATCATTAACTGTTCCTTTCTGTAGGGCAATAGATGACAGTAGTATAAATATGTTAGCTATCCCATATATACATACATATATAATTTTCCCTCTTTCCCTTCTTTTTTCTAACACCCCAGTTGCCCTTTACTTTTGAGCATTTTCCTTTCATTGGTGAATTGACTATTTACTGTGTATAGTAGTGTTAAGAGACAACAGCGCAAAGAAAACATCGGTGGTATTGTCATGGTAAATCTTACACATGTGGAACAATTAGCATCCAAGATGTATAATAAATGTATTTTTAAAATATAATATAATGATATACAATAAAGTATTAAACTGAGATGAGTATTACATAGTAAATTCCAGTGCTGTGAAAGTATTTGGATCAAGCAGTAGAAGATGTCATGGAAAATATACAACAAAAATTCAGCACTTAAAAGCGAGCAGAGCAGGCACAACAGAAGAAAGGTTAGAGAACACCCAAAGAAGGAAGGAGAAGTACGAGCAGAATACAGAGACATTTGGTTATTAGCAGGGAGATTCATATTTTAGAAAGTTTTTGCAAAGTATATTTCAAAAGGGAGTAGTGATGGAAGACTCTTTTGCCTAGCAAACATATTTTTTTTCAGTTTTAAGGAGATGTTCAAATGCGGCAAAAACAGAACAGCTAAAGAAAAAGCTTGTGCTGCAGTGATTGAACAAGAATACCAAAAACTTGGGCCAATGAGGTAAGATATGCATGTATGTGTGAGCGCACGCACACACACACACACACACACACACACACTCACCCACAACCACTCCACAGATACTGTATTGGTATCTGGTAGGTAGTTTCTTAAAAGCATCTAAGCATGTATCTGTCTTCCAGGTATTTATAACTCTTAATTAGGGCTCCAAATTTGCTAAATTTTGTGAATATAATTCAACTTGACAAGATATCTACCACTAGCTAACTAAAATTTGCCAAGTAGAATATCAAGACCCCAGAAAAGAAAAAAGGGTCTTTTCCAACTCTATAGATGTTCTCAAATTATTAACATGTCCAGTTCTTACAGTGTCTGATACCTTGCTAAGATTACTCTTGACGTTAGCTTGGAGACTTTCCATAAATATCCTTTCAGAAAACAAATGACAGCATAAGAATTTCTCCACAGGTATCAAGAAATTGTGACCTTGGTCCTCTTCATTACAATGGCCCTGCTATGGTTCAGCCGAAATCCAGGATTTGTTCCTGGTTGGTCTGTACTTTTTGCAAAGTAAGTATTACATGATATGCTTGCCAGACCTTCTTGTTTTATATGCTGCTTCTCTCCTTAGCAGTTCTGAAAGTTTGAAAGTTTATAAGATATTTCTTTCTTTTTTATATAAATGTTTATTATGTGAAATAAGTTTCACTTAGCACCTGTTAATAATCAGACGTAAATTCATATTCTATGCTTTTTACCAATTTAAGATTTTGTTTTTATGTGTATGGAAAACTATTTATTGGACTCAATATGTTAACTTTCATAACATTTTTGTGCTAATTTGCTTCAAATTTGACATGCCCTCCTTTTCATACCTAAGGAATGCCTGAATAAGTAATAAGACTCATTTTTTAAAACTAATGCTAGAAGCCAGGCAGAACTAGTGATATCTCCCAGTGTCTTGTACACCAGCAGTTGTCGCTGAGTCATGTGAAGTGAGGGGGAAGATTGCAGGAAAATTTTCTAAATTAAGAGTTATCTTGCATGTCAGTATAAGTAATTTGGTTCTGAGATTTCTGTTCCTCATCCATCTTTCACCAAAATACTCTAATTCCTAAATTTAGCAGATATATGGCTTGGGCTTCCTGTCTTACACGCCCCGGTAAAAATTCACATAGTCTAGGGGGCAGAAACCAAAATTGCTGGAGTCAGATGAATTTTGCCTAGGTGGAAGAAGGAAATTCTTCCCTTTCTGAATCACATCCTTCTGGATTTACAGGCATGGCCAATATTTTTCAAATGTGCAAAACCTGAATCTAGATTTCTAATGACCACACAAGTCAAACAACACAAGGTGGTTTTAGAAGATCAGCTTCAGCTTTAAAATCATTTTTATTTCCCTTTGGAGTAAAACTTTTCATTTTGAGATGTCTAAGCTAAAAAAATCATCTAATTATTCAAGGCAAGTTATTGTTTAATAGCTGATTAGCCCTTTGTGATTTTGTAATAGAATCTAGAGCAACATAGAAAGGTAAGTCTCACTTTGAAAATAGAAACCCTACCATTCTAGGTGGGAAAATCTTTCTCTAAACACTAGTATGTCAAAGCTAAACAAAATCAGAAAATAACTAATAAAACCAGGCAAAAAAATCCCAAAAGGAAATTCAATATATTTAACCTTGAATTTTTGTTCCTTATGGGAGGATAATGCAATCCAGGAGCTGTTTTGTTTGTTTCAGGAAATCAGTGTATTTGCTATGGGCCGGTGCTTATGTCACTTAGCAATCTTCTAGAAAACAATAAGAAAAATAACAAAGATTTGAGGATGGGATTTGAAGATAGAAATCTAATGATAAACCCAAAGCAAATAAAGTTTGTGTAAATTTAATATTTTATAAAACTGAGATCACCTAATTCATAATAAATTAGAGATAGAGGTGGGGAGGGAGGGAAGCAACAGGAGAGAGAAAAAGAATCAGTGTGTCCTGCACATGTATGAACTCCTTATGATGAATGTAATCATATGAAACACATGCATGTGCTAATAAAAGCTATTGCTTTTTAAAGTATTTTGAAAATAAATTGTTCAACATTTATACCTTCACTTTATTTAACAGGTATATTCAGGAGAATACATTTGTTATGTAGAGGCTTTAGGCATTCAAAATTTCTGAAGTTAGCATGATATATTAAGATTTATAGCTACCACCTAATGATTTGATCCCATCTGTTTGGACCTGGACTGAATTCAGTATGCCTTTTCATATAAAACAAAATCCAGCTACATGATTCCTGGCTCAATTTGGCAAAAATTCAACCAAAATTATAGCTTAAAAAATGAGGAACAGCGCTGCTAAGTATTGTCAAGTTTATAGAATAAATTATGCCATGATTAAGTTTTAGTCAACAAAGAAAAAAATAAATCTCTATTTAAGGAAAATATATTTCTTTAAAAATTTGTTACATTGAGAAAGACAATGAATTTTCTTTAGGTTTTCTAGGTAAATTACAAGAGTTGAGCAGCTTCTGTAACATATAAACTTTACTGAATTTCAAGATAGCAAAATAATTCTTATTGAGTGTGTATTTCTTCTCGGGTGATGAAAATGTACTTAATATTGCTGGCTTCTAAAACTGTAATCTCATTTTTTGCCTATTTCACTTATATCTTGACTCCAGATGCTTCTTAACTGTTGAGGCTTCTGGGAACCTGTCTTATTTGTTGGAATGGACTGGTGATTTCAAGACCCCATCTGTCCCTGAATCACTCTTAATTTGTAGAGTGATCATCTATGAATATCTCATAAACAATTCCATTAATTAATGCTGGATTGAGTTTCATAGAGTGCAAAGCATTAAATGGGTTGATTTCATTTGTATGATATGCCTAGGACCTATAACTGTAGAACCAGGTGTTAAATTCTAGAAAACAAATCAATTTTTTTTGCAATTTATAAAGAATTTGAGAAGCAACATCAGGCCATTCCACAAATCAATAACATGTGATAAATCAATTATGTGGGGCTTTACCTGGTATAGCAATTGTTTCAAACTCAATTCCTCCAAAAAGAATTAAAGGATTCAAAGAAGAAATTGATTAATAAATTTGCAAGCTTATCTAAAAGGGAAATTGGCCTTGTTGACCTACTAAGTCAATGTCTCTACATGTGATACTGAAAATAGTGAGAAATGTATGAAAATAATGGAATATGGTCTGAGATGATCAGTTCTAGTTAAATTATGTCATTTATTTGGAAATCCATAGATTTTAGAGATTATCCATAATAAATAACATACCTCTATTATTACTTACATGCATATCATACAAATGGAATCAATCCATTTAATGCTTTTTCTTACTTCAATGTTATTAGTATAATCAATTAGTGTTTTAGCACATGTAAGCTCTTAATGCCATTTTAAAAATATACATTTTTTTCAGGTACGCTGGTTTTGTAACCGATTCAACTGTTGCCTTAGTTATAGGACTCCTTTTTTTCCTGATCCCAGCAAAGATATTGACTAAAACTACATCGACAGGAGAAATTGGTTGAGTATCACTTATAGCTGATTGAATTTGACAGAAAAGCAAAATAAAATGTAAAATGTCACTTTCCATGATCACTTAGAAGGAATAGTCTTGCTTACACAACTCCTGGCTTAGCAGACCATATTTGTACACTGTACCTCTTAGTCATTGTACCTCCACCTATGAGAGAGATCATCTGACTTTGCGGACATGAGTGGATATCCCTGTGCACTATGGATCGAGATCTACTACAAGCGATACTATCTGGCCTATGATAAATCCACTCCCACTGCCACCATTAGACATAATCTTACTATTGGAAAACATAGAAACAAGAACTTGGAAATCAGTATTTCATGATGAACCCTGGTAGGAAATGCTGAGGATATAAAAATGGCAATGTGAATCATGAGAAAGAGCATTTACAGCCTCATAGTAATCTTGGAAGAAAAGCAAATCATCCTACACAGCCATAACCTAAGGTCATGATCACAAAATAGCGTTCAATGAGAGCATTCATTGAATTTACAAAGTGTGGACAAAGAATCATGCACACTTGCATGAACATGCACTTCCCACATACACACTTCTTAATCATAGGCTCCGTGCATATCTATGCTTACACTAACATGCACGTTGTTAGTAGTCACATTCCTAATTGTCAGTGTGGGACAAAAGATTTAGGGTAGTTTGGAAATAGACTAGTAAGAATAGAGCTGTGAATCTGTTTTGATTTGATCACTTTTACTGTGATGGGAATAGGGCTCGTGCAGTTGGGTTAGCTCCCCTGGCAACCTGAGTCACTACCCATCAATAGCTCAGGTTTTCAGGGCATGATATATATATATGAACAGCATAATGTAAAAATAAATCCCCATTGTTCTTCATTGATTGTTCTTCATTGTGTGTTAAGGAAATATTGCAATATTTAGTACTGATTTCTATAAGACCCTGAAAACTCTAAACATTGCCATCAAAATCCCATGGAGGAAGCAATGCTTGGTTTTAACTTCCTAGATTCCTACATCTGAACCTCTACTCAGAAAGATCTTTGATCCTGTCCACCTTTCCACCTCATTCTTTAATGCTCTCCACCCTGATAAACTCATTCATACTTTGTTTAAAAATAACAAATATGGCATAATATGTAAAATTTTCAATGAGGTACGTTTCAGAAATGTTTGCATTCTGACAGAGTATATAGTTTTAACTCACTTAAGAAGCATTGTAGTTAAATTCTAGTCATTTGTGAAGGTAGTTTTGAGAGTATTTTGGGGTAGGTTTTGGTTTGGGAGGAGATAGGAAGTAGGCTTGTTAATAATATTGTAATCTCACCAAGTAGGGGGATGTTATAAATGTTAAATGGGGATAGTGTGCTCCTAAATGAACTTACTTATAAACAAATCAACAGAGAGATCAGAACCCAAATATCTGGAGATATGATAACTCCTTCATGAGCATTATCATTCTCAAAAATGATATTTTCATCTTTTAATCTGAATTTTGAATTACCTTTAAACTAGAATTCTAAGAAATCTGTTATGATTCGCTTTATGACTTAAAAATAATAAAATACTAAAGTAAATATTAGTAAATAATAAATAAAATCTTGTGCTGATGTTATTGGAATCAGTGTCATATTACAAACATTTTACTTAATAAGAGAAGTACAATTTAATGCACTGTTACTCAATTAAGTGTCATGTAATTAATGAATGAGTCACATTATAAATGACAATGTTTTAACTGATGTAAAACAAATTTCAAAATATCCAAAATATTTTCCAAGTTACAATTTTTTTCTTTTTTATAATGTTCCACTTAGGCTAAGTGGAAATTACTCAGTCTGGGAAAATCCCCTCAGAATTACTGAGTGGAAATTACTAAGTCCAGATCAAATTTCCTCTTTAAAAACAATATAGAAACATTACAAACTTTCTGTGAGGTAACTAGAATCCTAATTTTTAGAAAGTAACGTCATATTTTCATGTTTTAAGCAATGCTTAACTGTAGGACTTTTGTTTGACAGTTGCTTTTGATTATTCTCCACTGATTACTTGGAAAGAATTCCAGTCATTCATGCCCTGGGATATAGCCATTCTTGTTGGTGGAGGATTTGCTCTGGCAGACGGCTGTCAGGTAATACTCTGTGTGTAAGATACGTAACAGTTAACTAGATAGTTCAAAAGAACACAGAGACATCCAGGCTTCTGGCACATTCATATTTATTCTACTTAATAAGGCAGATTTCAATAGTCATACCTGCACACAGATACTGCATACTACACAGATGAGGTGAGTTTAGAGTCCCAGAAGTTTTCCAGGTGGCAAGTACAAAGCATAATTTTTTTATGGCATTCAACCATGTCAAAAATAATGTAAAGGAGATTAAAATTATTAATACATGAGATAGTGTTAGAAGACTACCATAGTAGGAAAAATTTTAGATAAAACTATATATAAAGTAACTCCTCATGAAACATATTTCTTATTTGTTTATACCTTTACTTTATTTCATGATGAATTTGAGTAGCTTTGGGGTTTCAACATGTTGTGGTCCTATTTTTGTCAAAGGAGAATGAGGAATAATATTGACCTTAAATGTACTTAATAAGTTCTTGTTGGATGAAGTTTGGGGAGAATTTCATACAACTGTGCCTAATATTATGTGCATTCTTAAGAAGATATAAAAAGAGCATGGGGAATGCAGTTGGCTCTTGTTTGATCTTTATATCCAGTTGTTATAATGCAGCAATCTGGGGAGGCCCTTGTCCTTCGTAATTCCCCTCATCATTGTATAGTGGTTGGAAGAAAAATACCTGTCAGAATTGCATAAACATCCTAAACTTTTAGGCTAGTTAAAATCCAGTTGTTTTTTGATTTCACAGACTTTTGTGAAATACTCAAAGATTATGACTGTTGCATATCCTTACTCATTAAATTGAGGAGAATGGTGAGAGGGGTGTTATATCAAACCCCTTGTAGGGGGTTGTTTTTACACTTCTCAAAATAAGTATCTTCTCTCCCATTCTTGCTAACCTATATGGAGACTTCATTTCTATGTTATTGCCACTTTTCTGCACTGCATGTAGATAATGATCTTGTAGCAAGAGGATTTAGTAGTAGTTGAAAGTCTTGGAAACTGACTCAATGTGAGCCCCTTCCACAAAATTATTTTAGGTATAGATTTTGCTTGTCTCATTACCTGCCCATAGAAATGGTAGAAATATAAGACATTTACATGTTCCTTTTCTACTACTGTATTTCAGCAGTAATAAGATCTGAATTGGATTAAATAACTTCCATTCCATGTCTACTAATTTGTACTCTATGGAAGTCAGAAACAAAATGCCTGGGATGGATAGGAATTCTGTTCATCTCTTCTCCCCAGGAATGTCTAGATTGGACCCTACATACTCAAAATGCCTTTGAAAACATCCACTAAACCCTAGAACATCAAAATAGGAGTAAATTGAAAAGTGCGAACATAGTCTAATGCTAATGGTTCTCTCAGTGAAACAGTTAGGCACACCACTGATGAAGGTTTAGTTTGCCATAAAAATACTATTATTCAAAATCAGATATCTAGAAGAATACCCACAGTAATATTACTGTAACCCTTACTGGCCAGAATTAAGCTTCAATAACTATGGCTATAGGCAAATATATACACAGAAAGTGAATTTACAAATGATTTTGAGATAGCTAATTTTTAAAAATTTTGATATAAATTGCAATTAGCCTGGCAAATGTCCAGAATCAGATAACGCTTCTAGTTGAGAGCAGTAAGATAGCAATACCTGTGGCATTTACCTCACTGGAATTGCCCCTCTTAAAATGTCCTTGCTTTGCTTTACTGTGCTAGAGCTCTTGAAAGCTGGTAGTTACATTCATACTCTTGTCAGTGAATAAACTGCCCCTCTTCCCTTTTCACACATTCCTCAAAATTTTTCTCCTAAATTAACATGGAGAATTAAACACTTTTCTTAGAGCTCCATTAAATTGGCAAGAGCAAAACTAAAAAGTGTCCGTCTATAAATACAAAAGAAAACTACATAATAGGGTCAATAATAGACAAGAGGTGTTGAAACATTTAAAAATGGGAGGAAGATAGTTGAGAGGGAAGTGACTGTACAAAAATAGCGAATGATGAGATAGTAGGCTGGCCAATAGGAAAGCCAATAAGAAACACGGTGATTTATCTACAAGATCCTGGAAGAGATGGGGATTGGAGGCAGCAGGTTACCCTGAAAGCAGGTGGAAGAGCCAGAGCTGAATACTGAGAATGGCTTTAAAAGGATACACATGGCTGTGGGCTCATCCTAGTTTGTCACAAGCATAAAGATTTGCGAATTCAGTATCTTATTGAAATAATCTCACAAAAGGGGAACTTTCCCTTGCATTGGGGAAGAAAAGGAAACAAAAACAAAAACAACCCCCCCTCTACCTGCTAACCTAAGTGTAGCTAATTTTTTTGGACTACATACAATGAAACAAAATCATTATGTGACCAGGCTAAGGAGCTCTGCTGGAAACCACAGGAGAATGATCAATGACTTAAAACCACTAAGTGACAATTACTTTAAATCTAGAATCCCACAAATGCTGAAGTGTCAAAGTGGTGATAAGAGCAAATATAAGGTTTTCAGGCATATAAAACTTCAAATAATTTACCTTCCATGTACCAATTTTCTGGAGGTTGTAGCAAGATGAGGTCTACCAATACAACAGAGTAAATAGAGAAGCATTTCCATAAAAGGAATAAGAGAAAGGAACTCACAGTAAAAAAGCAGGGTTCCAGAACAACAGTTGAGTAGATTTAAAGAACAGCTAGTCCCATGGAGCAGGAGGAAAAAGTATTACAGAATAGACATCTCCATGAAGGAACATGAAAAATAAATGAATACCTGGTATGTTTGTCTATTCATGGGGAGTTTGAATGGGTGAAAGATGCTTAGAAAACTTAGCAAACAAAGAATGAGATGGTTATTTTTGGAGAAAATAAAGAAAAAAAACAAAAAAAGTAAATATAATTATAGAATACTAAGTGGCTCAGCTATGAACAATATTTCTGTAATCATAGTGGTAACCATTCATGAAATATTGATTTAATCAAAATTGTCAGTATATGAGTGTAGGGTCATAGGTATGGTGTGGGAAATACATGTAGGGTGGGTGGTGTAAGAAAATTAGATTATGTAAAATATTAGAAAGTCAGAAAATAATGTCTACATTTGAAAATTAGGAAAATCCATGATTTTAACATTATTTTGAAAGACTAGTAGCTATCATAGTTGATAGGGTTTTAAAGTGTTTGATTCTGGGAATCACAGTTTAGGAATAAGGAGAGATGAACTACAAAGGCTGCTTTTCTCTTAAAACCTATAGTTTTATGGGGCTTTTAAAAATATTCATATATATTAATGATATAAAATTAAGGTTTCATTGGGAAAAAGTGGAAAAACAATTCAAAGTTCCTAAAGCATATTGATAACGTTGAAATAAGGCTGATAGCTCCTCCACTTCAAAGCCACCTAGATCTACCAAACCACAACAACGAAAGGGAAATAAAATTATGTTTTAGAAACTGGGATCTTAGATTAAAGAATGCTATGCATTTAAATTGTGTTGGATTAAAATGACTTATTAATGAATAACAAGTGTTTCAAATTTGTTTTCTAGGAGTCAGGACTATCTATGTGGATAGGAAATAAATTATCTCCTTTAGGTTCATTACCAGTATGGCTAATAATTCTGATATCTTCTTTGATTGTCACGTCTTTGACAGAGGTAGCCAGCAATCCAGCTACCGTTACCATTCTTCTCCCAATATTGTCTCCATTGGTGAGTATCTCAGGTAGAATATTCATGAAAAGAGTAGCGTTCATTGGATGTTGGGGTGCTAGTTCCCCTACTGTGGCATGGAATCTTTTATGGGTTAAATACATCTCCTATAAGAAATGTAGAGCAGTCTTTATTTGTTCTAAAGCTTTTTAGGTAACCTTGACTAAAAAGAGCTATTTTCCATGTTCTTAAGTGAACGACTTACCTTTTCTTTATATTTTATTTTTTTCCCATTTGCAAATAAAGGGCAGCGTCATGCTAAATCCATTCCAGCTCTAAGATTTAGGATTCAGCCTTTCCTGACAAATTTAGTATTTAGATTTTTAACACATTTCTTGCTCCAGAACATTATTCTAAATTTGTGAGCAGTGTGTGGCAGAAGTGTGCACAGAGAACTGACAAGCTAGGCTTACCCTTGAAGTTTAAACATTTTAGGCCCAATTCTCCACTGCCCAGGGAAAAGGTTTTAAAAAAGTGAGAAAGTAGCTCAGTAGGAGAGAAAGAGCGAGACAATCTTCTCTTCTCCCCATGTAGTTACCAATTTCAAGAGACAACTTTAAGAACAATGTTTTTCTTATCAGGATGGAATAATTTGGTAAAAGCAAAGCACTTTGTATTAAGAAACTTCATCTTATAAAAAAACAGAAGAAGAGGAAGAAGGGCTATCTTTCTGCAATTGTTCTGCCTCCAGCCCACGGTGTATGTGGAAGCTCTTGAGATACTCCTTCAAATTAGAAAAGAAAATGTGGGCTGTTTATTAACAAACACTTTTTGGCAAAATGGGGTTTTACTCTTTTTTACTTTTCAAGATGGAATAGTTAGAAAATGATGTGATTAATTGAGAATACCAATATATCTTCTCTAATGGTTCCTAAGTAAGTTTTAAATTGCCTTTGTCCTAGAAGCAATAAGGTTGGTGGTATAATGAGAAGCTCTAGAACCAGAGGAACTTAAGACCTTACCCTAAGCTCTGTGCTCACCAGCTGCGTGCTTGGAGAAGTTCCTTTCGGCTCTCTGGGCTTGTGCATTCATCTCTTTTTAGATTATTGCAGCCATCATATGAGATTTTAAAATTTTTAAATTAATATCATTAATTATATTATTTTATATATTATGTATAAATATATGTATGTCTAAACACTTAGTGCTGCACCTGGCATGAAAAAAGACAAATGATTGCTGTTCTTAGTTTCTGGAATAAATGATACTTTATTTTGTAAATGAACTTAACTGTAATGTTTAAATAACCAACCAAAACCATGTAAGCCAGATGTGGTGGTACATGTTTGTAATCCCGGCACTCTGGAGGCTGAGACAGGAGGATAGCCATGAGTTCAAGCCAATCAAGGGCTACAAAGTGAGTTTAAAGCTAGCCTGAACTACATAGTGAGATTCTGTCAAAAAAAAAATGGAAACCAGAATAAGAGGAAGAAACTTTTCTAAACAAGTTATAACTTCGTTTATGTGTATATAATTAGGTTTCAACTTGCTTTAGGAAGTTTTTTTAATTGCTTCTTTCAGTGTCTGGTGCCTACCTTCAAGGTTTTATTCCCACTTCTTTTTCTTTTACAATAGGCTGAAGCCATTCATGTGAACCCTCTTTACATTTTGCTGCCTTCTACTCTGTGTACCTCATTTGCGTTCCTTCTCCCGGTAGCAAATCCACCCAATGCTATTGTTTTTTCATATGGCCATCTGAAAGTCATTGACATGGTGAGTTAGCTAAAAGAATTTTATCAGAGACAGTACATGCTGTGTATTTGTGGGTGCATGTGTGTGTGTATGTGTGTGTTGTCTTGAATAAGTTCAACTTTTACACAGTAATGTACCTCTGGAAAAGTATGGCCTGAATTCTGTTTCTGAAGATATGTTCATGACTGGTCATAGGTTTTACTTTTTAAGGGTAATACCCAGAAGTGATCATGATATTAGAATTTATAGTCAAAAATATTGTGAGATCAAGTGCATTAGTAATAGCCTAGAAAAGGAAAAGTATAAAATTGTTCAACACAAAAGTTTAAACTTTTCATGTCAAGATCAGGATCCAACTTGACCTAGGCAAAAGGAAGAAATACTGATAATGAAATCCAGCAATCAAACAACGGTAGGATTTGCTATCGCAAATATGTTATGCAATGACATTTGCTTTGAATAAGACATTAGGCTCAATGCCTGACTGGTAAAAAGGCACCTTTCTTGTCCCAATTCTAATGTGGCACCTAAAATCACAAGCCAGTAATAATGGAAAATTTAAGTGATAAAACATCCACAGTTTCCCAAATTCAAATTAGTGATAGTTAAGAACTGATTTGAGAATATCCCAGTCTTCATCACCAACTTCCAAACTAATTCAAACAAGAATATATCCAAAGCAAATTTGGTGAACTTGCTAGGAAAATGTAGATCTGAGGCAAGTCCCAGCTTCCTTAATTGTTTCCACTGAGAAGTCACATAATGTCTTTTCTTTAAATAAATTGTGCTAGTGCACATTTTGTTAAATAAAATGTATATATGAAATGCCTATATGTGTGTGTGTAAAAATGGATAAAAATAGGATTCTGGAATAAATAAGTGGCCTATATGGACAGAAAAGAGGGCCTCTATAATAATCATTGTTAAGTGTACCCCCTTTTACTTTGCAACTCTAGGCTCTAAGGCAGAGAATTCACACAGAGCAGAACACTCTCAGTAAAGGACCAGTTAGTAGCTGATGTTCCATGGGCCACAGTCTCTGTCACAAATACATGCTCTGCTTTGCTATTGCACCATGAATGCAGCCGAGGACAACATTCAAACATACATGCATGGCTGTGGTCTAACAACACTGTACTAGCAAAAAAGAGATAAAGACCAGAAGGTTGATGATCTCCATTTTAATGGACAGAAAACAATTTCAAAATTGTTTAATGGACACCAGCTAGAAAAATGGGAACACTAAGAAAGACAAATAGAAATGGCATTATAAAATTTTAGTAAGAAAACCAAAAAATAAAAAGAATAAAAAAAAAATAAGGGGCTGGGGATTTAGCTCAGTGGCAAAAGCGCCTGCCTGACAAGCGCAAGGTCATGAGTTTGGTTCCCGGTACCGGAGAAAAACCAAAAAATAAAAAAATAAAATAAAATTTTAGTAAGAGACTATTTCAGGGTACATCAATAATAAAATTAAGTAAATATGAAGGATACAGCTATCACATGGTGTCCTGAAACTTATACATTAAAATATAAAAACATAAAACTCAAATTCTGACTTAATATGCAAGGACAGATATTTATGAGGATTTTCTCTAATCAGAATGACTTAAGTATATTCCTAAGAAAAATTGTTCCAAGTGTGTCTACTGAAATGATGTTTAATTGGGGGCAGATTTTCTTTTGATGGGAATTATGGGAGAGAAACTCACTGTTTCATGAGCTAACAATTTATACCAGTCATTCAGGAGGTAGGTGAATAAGACATTAATTTTCCTATGGGTTTTCCTTTGGGGAGACTGACATTTATGCTCTTTCCTATTCAAGGTTAAAGCTGGACTTGGTGTTAATATCCTTGGTGTTGCTGTGGTGATGCTCGGCATACTTACCTGGATTTCATCTATGTTTGACCTTCACACCTACCCATCTTGGGCTCCTATAATTAGTAATGTGACCATGCCATGACGGGCGCAGAATTTCTTTCCATCTCTTGGTGACTCTGAGGGAACCATTAAGAATTCACTGGAACATATGACTGTGTGTAACTACTGACATTAAGGCAGCCATAGTACAGCAGCTGCGGTTCCAGTGAATTCGTGAAACCAGCTGTCATAGCCGGGGCCCCAACTTTGTGTTGGGCCGTGATGGACGAGTACCTGTCTGCCTTCACTGAGGGGCTTAGGTTTGAGCTTCTGCCCATGGACTGTCTGCACCTTGCCTCCTCATAAGAACAATTTATAATTTGACTTTCAGAGAGGTTAGGCCACTTCGTTTACCTCAAAATCAGAGTTCAGTGTAACAGTTCAAACATTAATTTATTAATTTAGAAACTTTCCATGAAATTAAGAACAGTATACAAGTCAATTCGCTACTGGGATACATCATTTCTATAGTGCTGTTCAAAGAATTTGCTGAGAAACAAAGCCATGGTCATCTGGTGGTGTAGAAAATTGCCTAATGAATGCATTTCCTCACTTAAGTAAAATTCAACAGGATTATTCTTAATACACATAGTATAAAATTGAAATTGAAGAAGTACATTATTCTAAATTTATAACAATCACAGAAAACTCATTGGTAATGATTAATTTCTACTTGATCAGATTGGTAGAATATTGATCCATACTTTCTGACATCTGCACTGAGAAATGTGTTTTGGAAAGCTGTGAAGAAGGCTTAATATGATTTGTACTATTCACATTGTGTAGTAAGAAAAACAGCTAAACATGAAACTATTCACACACTTTTCAGTGTTTATCTTCATTCAGAAATGCAGAATTTCATCTGTAAAAAAGGAGACATAGAAATGTAAATGAATTATCAGTATGTACATGGAAATAAAAAAGTCTTGTGAGTCCTCATATCAAAGCTGAAATGAAATATTAGTGCAAAAAATAAATAATAAAAAGTTAAAATTTGATATATTTACAAAAATGTCATTTATGAGCAAACTATAAAAAAAGAAAAAGAACTTGAACATTAAAACAAATAAAAATGATGAGAATAGAGTGAATAAAATGACAATTAAAAATGAAAGATACCTTCCTAGCAAGCACAAGGTCCTGAGTTCCATTCCCAGTACCAAAAAATGAAACAAAGGGTGAAGATGTTACATCACAGAATTCTTATGTTCAAAAGACAACAGAAGACAAGGTCAAAAAAACCAACTAGTTTGTTATTGTGTTTGTGTAATTTGTTATTTGTAATCTTCATAGATACTTTTCTATATGTTACAAATCTGGTGTTTTTGCAAATGATATTATATATGAAATTATTTTTGAAATTAATTGACTAAATGGATATTTGATTAATATAAATTACTTAACATTTTTAAAAAATTTTATGTGAAGAATCATTATGTTTGTTAATTAGGTATTAACTAATCAATACAAAATTCATCATTTTTCAAAGAAAAGTTTGTATATTTAAAGCTTAAAATATAACACTGGTGCTTTGTGAAAACTGTCTAAGTTCATCCTATTCTCTTGCCCATTTCCTATTGCATGTTACACATTTATTTATGATCCATACCATTGATTACTTCTCTCCTCTTCTAGTCATTCAATGTATCTCTGATGAATTGGATTACATTATGAGTATATTTTCATTGTAAAGAAAAATAAAATGACTTTTCAAATTATAATAAGTTTTGGTATTCAGAAAATAATGTAAACATTGCAGCTTCAATAATTTTAATGAATTATTTCCAACTACTGCCAACAGAGTACAAGGAAAAGTAACTCCTGGCCCAAAGTTGTTTAAATGAGCCATACAGTTAGTTCTCTTGCTACATCTTTATGTTTGATGCATACATTAAAAATGCCTTCTGTATTTCACATGTGTCCCATTTACATCCCAGTTCCTGGCTCTTTCAGTTTGAGGGTTGCATAGTATCTTTGAAAGTTTCTAAAAAGCAATGTTAAACAGATGATCAAAGATATCTTTGTCTTCCCACTCCATGGTAGATAGTGTTTTTGTCATTAGCTTGAACATTACCTGCAGGTTAACTAGAAATCTTCGTCACTTTAAATTGTAATATCTTACTTAGGATCTATCTTGTCTAGATGATAGCACCAATTTCACTAGCTGTTTACTGTCTGCTCATGCAAGCACTTGGAGCGCTCCACTGACATCCGTGTGTCTTTCCCTCTCCCAGCTGCTGCTATGCGTGAGTGCCTTCAGAATCCAGATGTCCTTTCTTTAAAATGTGTGTTCTTGTTTTATCTAGTCTTCAAGTATTTGTTCTCTTTTTCAGCTTGGGAGACAGCGAAGTACATTTTTAGCCAGTGCCACTAATTAACATTATTAGAGACAACTGGCAAAACAATACCATTGCACATTGATTGTATCTTGGCATGTACACTATATATTATTATTAGATATATTCATATATTTCTGCCACAGCTAAATATTTGATAAGCCCTTTGTGATGGCTCATTTTTACACAACTGTATTGATTTCCTCAAAATAGCTATTATCATTACTTGAATGTAGAGATTTTGGAACACTAAATGTGTCATTTTTCTTATTCTTAGTAGGAGGTGAGTTGTACTCCGAGTGAAAGTAGAACCAAAAAAATACAATTTTATTACTCTGACATAATGTGAAAAAGAAAAGTTAAAATTATTACTGCAGAGTAGCACTAGTCATATTATTATGAAATGAAGCTCTTTAGTCCAGTAAATATTTGCTAGAGAAATCCTGGAAGTGCAAATATCAAAGCCAGATGTCTCCATTGCAAAAGCAACCAGGCTAGTCCAGGAATAAACAATAAAAATGACATGCAACTGAGGCAGAAATTATAAAGATTTTTCCAAATAGGAGTGCCTTCACTTGTTTAAAAGGGCTTTTCTCACTGATAGTATAGTGGTGTAAATACCAGACAGGAAAATTACTCTTGAGGTTAAGTAATAAAAAATATGGTATGACAGACGCCACTGTATCAGCAAGAAAGTAATGGTAGTCCTCAGAAGAGAATGACAAAGTACAAGCAAGAATCTTGACATTTAGATGAGAATTAAAGTTGGTAAGTTCCAATTGCCACAGACAGTGAATTGCTGTCTTGATTAAAACACAAGAAACAAACAAGAAAAGGGAAAGCTGGTAATCAACTATGTTAGGAAGAGAATGGAGAACTGGAGGTAGGAGACCAAAGGACTATATTTTCAGTGAAACTGTGAGAGAAACCATCGGAGAAACTTCTATGTTATGGCCAATGCACTAGGAGAAAGGAGATAAAATCTCCATGGCGCTTAGAAGTACGCAAGTTTAAACACTAGTCTTAATATCAGTGCATGAGGGACATACTTAATCAGAAAATTTGTTTCAAAACCATTCTGAGGGGCTGGGGATTTAGCTCAGCGGCAAAAGCGCCTGCCTGGCAAGC